GCCTAACAGAAGGCAAGAACCTACTCAAGTGAAAGGACATAGTGTAGAGGTTCTGACAGGATGATTAGAGCTGACGGCTTATGGCCAGCACCTCTATCCTACAGGCCCAAAACCCTCTCTTAGCCCCACCCTGCCCCCAATTAATCCCCAGAGACCCTCCCCAAACTGAGCTCTGTACTGAGCAGATAGCCTTATACCTCCTCACCCCTGAATTAAACCACCCCTCCCTCTTCTCCAGGGAAGCCCCCAACTTGTGGCCTCCAGGTCTGACCACCAGTCCAGACCAGCCTGTTTGGATGCCAGACTTGGTTGCTATAGCGTCTCCAGGGAGACAGAGCTGTATTATAATTAGATCAGCTGCCTCCTGCTCTTCACTCCAAGGGGCCCTGGCCAGAGCCAGAATCCCAGCTCTTGCAGCTCCCCCAGTTTCCACTCTAGACTGGCAGTGAGGTTTCCCACAAACACGTGGATCTCCATTTACCCCCAGGCCTGACCAGGGCAGCTGTCAGACCCTGGCCAGGCAGGGGTGCAGTCTGAACTACTCTTTTCTATGCAGATGGTATGGTGTATGCTCTGGGGGGAATGGGCCCTGACACGGCCCCCCAGGCCCAGGTACGGGTGTATGAGCCCCGCCGGGACTGCTGGCTTTCGCTACCTTCCATGCCCACACCCTGCTACGGGGCCTCCACCTTCCTGCACGGGAACAAGATCTATGTCCTGGGTAAGGGCTGGGGGATGTGGGAAGAAGGCTCAGAGCCCAGAAGTCTCCATCCCCGTAGGTTGGCTGGGGTAGGGATCAGGCTGAATCTGAGACATCAGGACTTTAGCTTTGTTGGGATAATCCATACCTACTCTGAGGCTCTGACCTGTGGTGGGCCTGCTAAGATTAGAAAATCAAACCCAGTGCTTAAAGGTCTGTGGGGTGGACGATCCAAGAGCAGATGTGCACAGAGCTGGGCATGGGAGGCTGGGGTAGACAGCTCAGCAATCTGGTAAGTGAGGAGCCCACCAAGCTCACTGGGCTTCCACCCAAGTTCCCCCATTATCTTGACAGGGGGCCGTCAGGGCAAGCTTCCAGTGACTGCTTTTGAAGCTTTTGATCTGGAGACCCGTACCTGGACCCGACACCCAAGCCTGCCCAGCCGTCGGGCCTTTGCTGGCTGTGCCATGGCCGAAGGCAGTGTCTTTAGCCTGGGTGGCCTGCAGCAGCCCGGGCCCCACAATTTCTACTCCCGCCCACACTTTGTCAACACTGTGGAGATGTTTGACCTGGAGCATGGTGAGCAGTGGCTGTCTTACACTGTCCTCCCTCTCTTGGTGGGATGGAGGGACATTGAGTGTGTCCAGGTTTGACCTCCCATCTTTTACAGGGTCCTGGACCAAGCTGCCCCGCAGCCTGCGCATGAGAGATAAGAGGGCTGACTTTGTGGTCGGCTCCCTTGGGGGCCACATTGTGGCTATCGGGGGCCTTGGTAAGTCTCTGCGGGGGTGGGGGGGGGCAAAAAACAGGAAAGAGTATCCCCAGCAGCAGAATCCCCATCTCCAGGCTCTCCAGGGGTCAGGGCTTTGTGAGTTCCCTTTCTCTGTCCATAAAGCAAGCATGTTCTGGTCCAGCTCTCAGGGTGTCCCCTAGTGCCTAACTAGGGACTTTGAACCAGCCTGGGAGACAGAAGCAGGACAAATGACCACTGAATGTGTTATCAAGTGGACAAATCAAAACATGAATTAATGGCTGGAGGTGTGGCTCAAGTAGTAAGATGTCTGCCTATCAAGCACAAAGCCCTGAGTTCAAACCCCAGTCCCACAAAAAAAAAAAAAAGAATTAATGAACAAATGATGAACAGGAGCAATGAGGAGCAAGGCATTGATACCCCATCCTATAGTGACACTTATTAGGTCATTTTCTGGGCCCAGGGAGCAGAAGACCTTAGAGTGCCTTATAACCATCTGTCTTCTTGCAGGAAACCAGCCGTGTCCTCTGGGCTCTGTGGAAAGCTTCAGCCTTGCACGACGGCGCTGGGAGACACTGCCAACAATGCCCACAGCCCGCTGTTCCTGCTCTAGCCTACAGGCTGGGTCTCGGCTGTTTGTTATTGGGGGTGTAGCTCAGGGCCCCAGTCAAGCTGTGGAGGCACTGTGTTTGCGTGATGGAGTCTGAAGGCCTGGTGGAACCTGTCCACTAGAGTAGCTCCGTGCAGAAGCAGATGTCTGGCTCCTTTTGCTACTTAGGGAGCTCTCTGTGGCTCTGTAGGATGAGGGAGACTCAGGTGCACACCTGAGGCACTGCCTTGGGGACTTGGGTGGGGGGGAGCCTTTGTCTTTAGCACAGGACACATATATGCTCACACCACCTTTACTGTCATCCATTCATGAACTATACTTAGCTCCACCCTTGCCCTAAAACCTACTAGGCCCTCTGTCTAACCAGGAAGTGGAGAGAGTTTGATTATCTAGAGTTGTCCAGTGGCCATTCCTGAAAAAGTCTAACTGCCAGCCTGCTTCAAGGGTCTCTGTAGACCCAGGAGTGTTCAGAGAGGTGGGAGATACAGAAGGAATGGGAGAGAGAATGAGGGAACTGCCAGAGGGTCAGAGGAATGCTGGCTTTGGGCCCTCTACACTGATGGTTGTATGACCTTGGGCAAGTCATTTCACTTCTCTGTGCCTCAGCATCCTCATCTGTAAATGGGGATCTCGAAACCTTCCTGCCCTACCTACCTCACAGGGCTGTTGTGAGGACCCAGGGAGATGGATGTGGAAGTAAAAGCACTGCTAAAATCTGGCGTGTGGCTCCTGGTGTGGACTCTTATGTTGTCAGAGCCCCTGCCCTCCTTTAGGGGCTCAATCATCCCAGGGTCTACAGGGAGCCTTTTGGATTTGGCTTCTGCACCCTAAATGACCTGGTGTCTCAGTCCCACCTAAACTTCAGTTTTGCCTTAGGTGATATGGGATGGCAGCTCTCCTATACTGTCCTAGGTGTTGGGGACACTGACAGGATGACCAAAGAAGAGCTCAGAAAACAATAAAACTCCACAGGGTTAGGATAACCTTCAGGTCCAAGTCAGACAGTGTCTCTTCAAAGCTTTTCATCACCCCCAAAGGGAGGAGTGGTTCAGTGTATGTGGTGGCCTGGGTGCCTTCCTTCTGTCCCAGCTGTGGAGCAGCCATCTCTTGGGCAGGACTATGTGGCTACCCACCAAATCCCTCAAGGGCAACAACCTCCTGGTGGAAGCTGCCAGCCCATGTCTCCCCCTCCAGCTTTTGCAGCCCACTAGTAAGAAACCCTCTAGCTACACTGAGTATAAGGGGTTGCAATTACAGAGGAGTATTTGGGTCCCTGGAGCCTACCTATGGAGGTCATGACAACCTTCCTGGATTCTGATCTTCCTGCGGCTCTACCCTTTATCAATGGCAGGGTTCCCAGGAGAGTACCTCCCCAGCCCAACACTCAGATATAGCAGTGCCCTGGCAGTGAGCAGGGCACTACTACTCACCAGCACCTGATTAATTTTGAGCTGCAAGACAGACAGGCTGCTGTGTCAGCTATCCTTATTTAATGCATGGGACCAGTTTAGACACTCAGAAACCCCAGCGTGAAGGTAGTGCTGAAGCAGCTTGGGTCTTGGGATCCCTGGGAGGTCAGGCAATGTGTCGGTGAATGGCGCTTGAGGTCCTACCTTGCTACCACAGTGGCCACCCCGGGATGGCTGGCAGAAGTTCTGCTTGTATGTAGTGTCGCCATAGGCAGGCTGGACCTGCATAAAATGGACAAGGCGCTGGGGGAGGATACCAAGTTCTGAGCCTGGTCGGAAATCAGTCTGGTAGGAAGATACCAGAGGCCGTTGCTTGCTCAACTCCAGCTCACAGGGTGCCCATCGCAGGAAGGTGTGCTGTTGCCACAGGTGCCGCTTCAGGTCTTTCCGTCTTCCAATTCCCTGTAGCAGGCAGTAGGGACCCTTCTCAACGGTATGGGCCCTTGGCCCAGTCTTGGCACCAAGAAGTTCTTTGGACCCCACTTAATCCCATGTGCTTGATGATGATTGGACTGGCCTGAACCCTGCCCTCATTGGCCTGCCTCTTCAGTGATGCCATGTCTTCTAGCATAAAGCCTGAGAAGTCAGTGCCCCCCAGGAGACTTGCACACTGTCAAGGCAAGCTAGTGAAGGAAACCAGTGCAGAGGTGGCTCTGTCTGGGGATGGGGTCCTTCCCAGAAGAGAAAGGTTGTGGGGAAATAGAAACTCCTCTGCCTATTTAAGGAGCCCTCCCTCCCCTCAAGGTACTATCCCCTCTACCCTACTACCTGCTTTGCCTTAATATCAGCCTAGGCTGGGGGGAGGAGACTGCTCCTTCTCTCTAGCACTCACTTTGTCGAAGGAAGTGCGATTGTCATGCTTGGAGAAGAAGTGCTGCTGTGGTGGCTCCTTGAAAAACAGTGAGAAAGAAAGTGAAGAGGGAAAATCAAGCTTACCTACTGCACCAGATATTGTCTCAGGGCCCACAATAGAGGGAAGCTGCAAGAGCCATCACCCCTAAACTGCCAACACCCTGAAAGGGCAGAGACAAATTAAATACCTTACTCCTAGGATATCTCATCTAGGGATTTTCCCTGAAGTAGAAGCTTCTGGGGCTATGGATTGAGGAGCAGGCTGAGGCATCTGCCAGGACATCCTGCCATTGGTGGGACCCTCTAAGCCAGATTTCCCAGGAATGGGCTTTAGTCTTCTCCTCTCCATCCTCTCTTGCTCCCTGACAACATACCCATGCTCTGGTCCCTAAGTGCCACCTGGAAACTAAAATTTCTGTCTCTAGCTCAAGCTGTCTGCTGAACCTTAGGCTCAATAGCCAATTCCCTACTATACATGGAGTGCCTGACCTGACAGACATCTCTAAACACATGACTGAGCTTTGGATCAGAGTCTCCTCAGATTTTTTTTCTGTAACTCTTTTTTTTTTTTTGGTAGTACTGGGGTTTGAACTTAGGGCCTCATGCTTGCTAGGCAGGTGCTCTACCACCTGAGCCATGCTGCCAGTCCAGACTTTTTTTTTTTTGAGATAGGGTCTTGTTGTGTAACCTAGGCTGGTCAGTCTGGAACTATGTAGCCCATGCCAAACTCGTTATCCTCCTGCCTTAGTCTCCTGAGAGCTGGGATTATAGGCATGAACCAACATGTCCAGCTACCTTAGTTCTTTTCTGTCACATTCCACCTCCAATGTGGCAGGAAATCCTGTTGATGCTTCCTTGAAGATGTTCCTAGGATCAGAGGACCCCTCATCATGATCAGGGATTTCCCTGATCCAAACCACTTTTCTCTTTTGCTGGAAATATTGTGAGAACTTCCCACCTAGTGTCTGTTTTCAAGCTCCACACTCCAATCTATCATCCTCTCAGCAGCCAGAAATTCTTTAAGTACACAAATCCGATCATATCTTGTTTGCCAAAAATCCACAACAGTTCCTCGTGCTTATACCAACCAAAGTCATAGTGGTCCACAAGACTCATGTGGTACTGATTCTTCCCTATTGATTCTAGCTCTAGCTACCCTAACTTTTTCCCTGTTCCCAAAACATGCCATGTACTCCCTTCTCAGTTCTTTGTACCAACTGTTCCTTCTGCTGGCCATGTAATTTCCTCTTATCTTCCTCTTGACAAGCCTTCCTTGAGCATTGTGTTAGTAGGCCCATCTCCACATATCTGCATTTTCACTTCCTAACACTCTATGATTACATATTATGATGTTGCCTATCATCTGATGTCTACCATTAGAATACAGGCTCCTTGTGGGTTAAGTTTTTTGGCTGTCTTGCTTACATCTATGACTTTAGCACTGAAAACAATACCTGGCATTATGCTCTATAAATGCCAGGGACAGAAGATTCTGACTCCAATACATTTGCTTGGGCTTAGTTGGGGCCAGAGAGCCTGCCCTATCCCCAGGCAGAGAAAGATCACCCTTCAGATCTCCTGTCCTTGGCAGGAATTGCTCCCAAAACCATCTCCTTGTCTTTGTGCTCAGTGTCTGTCCCCAGAGCCACCCCCTCCCTGGCTACCCAGTTTCTCCTGCTATTTACCTAAAGTATCATGAGATATCATGAGCTCAGGCTTGGCTAGGGTATGAACAGTGGCTAACAACAGGTTCCCAAATGAAATGATGGTTTAAGGATGTAGTTCAGTGATACAGCTCTAACATGCTTGAGGCCCTGGGTTTGATCCCCAGCATCAAAAAAGAAAATGAAAAAGAAAGCAGGGGCTGGCTTCATCACAGTTCCCTGAACCAGTCAGGGTAGAGCCTGTGGTATGTGTTTTTAACACTTTCCCATTTGGGGACCCCCCCCCTTGCCTTAGCCAGTCAGTGGTAGTCTCCAAACAGCATGAAAACTATGAAGATGGGAAGCCATTCAGCCTTACCTTTCATTTCTCATAAAGCAAGATGACATGATGGGGATTAAAAACCAAGGGCTATTGCTTCTGGGGGGTTAGCTCAGTTGTAGAGCATGGGTTTATTATGTGCAAAGCCCTAGGTTCAATCCCCGGCACCAAACCAAACCAAACCAAACAAAACATGCTGTCTTAGAAAAAAAAAGTCTTTGAAAGCTGGAGCTAAATAAAGAGTTCCTAAGATATCACCAAGATCAAAAACCAAAAAGAAAAAATAAATGGGACCTCATCAAAATTAAAAAAAAAAAAACACTTTGCCCTGTGAAAGTCTGTATGAAGATGATGAAAAACAAGGTACAGACTGAGAGAAAAATATTTACAAACTACATTTCCAACAAGGGCTAGTACTATCTAGAATACATAAAAAACTTTAGGGCTGGGGGCAGGGCAGGGGGAAGCTCAGTGATAGAGTGCTTGCCTAGCATGCACAAGGGTCCTATGTTCAATTCCCAGTACCAGGCTTTGTGTGGGGGTAGATTATTAACATCTTGACAGTAAAATAACAAATAATCTAATCCAAAAATGAGTAAACAACTTGAAACGATTTCACCAAAAAGGATATACAGATGGTAAATGGTACATGAAAAGATGTTCAACATCATTAAACATTAGGCAAACACAAATCAAAACCACAATGAAGTATCACTACACATCTATCAGAATGGCTGAAATTAAAAATAGAGACAATACCAAATGTTAGTGAGAATTCAGAGAAACTAGATCATTCATGCATTGCTGTTGGGAATATAAAATGGTACAGACATGCTAGAAAATAGCTTGACAGTTTCTTTAAAAAAAACTAAACATGCAACTACCATATGACCCAGCAATTGTACTTCTGGGCATTTATCCCAGAGAAACTAAAGCTTATGTTCACCCAAAAATCTGCACACAAATGTTCATAGCAGCTTTGTTTGTAAGAGCTGGAATCAACTCAGATATCCTTTAATAGGAGAATGGTTAAAGAAACTAATACATACATACCATGGAATACACTTAGCAATGAAAAGAAATGAACTATTGATACACACAAATTGGATGACTCTCCAGGAAATAATACTGAGAAAGAAAACCCAAACTCCAAAGTCTGAATACTGTATTATTCCACTTATATATCATCTTAAAATAAATATTTTGAAACAGGATCTCCCTGTGTAGCCCAGGCTGTCCTTGAACTCATGATTCTCCTGCCTTAGCCTCCCATAAACTGGGATTACAGATGTGTACAACCATACTTAGCCCAACATTTTTAAGTGACAAAATTTTAGAAATGGAGGGAGTTTGGTAGTTAGGATCAGAGAAGGGGTGAAGAAATGAAAGGCAGTTAG